TAAGGGGCACCCTTCAGTCCGCGCGAGAACATGTTGGAGGGTTTCGGCTTAAAGGAGGGGGTGGACCTTTAGTTAGGGGGAGATGGGGTTGGGATAGGTATTGGCTTTTGTTAATGTGTAAAGGGAGGGGGGTGGGGGGGGGGGGGGGGCTTGTGTCAAGTTGAATTTATTTGGCGACGTTGGGTGAGAGACCCTCGAGAACCGTTGACGGTGGGTTGGTGAGGGTGAGGGGCAACTGGCGTCAGTGCAGTATTTAGCATTACCAAGCAGCGTGTTTTTGCTCACAGCACATTCATCGCGTGCCCATGATGTCGTGTTGTCATCGGTGTGGTAAATCTCATGCCGTATTTTCGGCTTCTGCTTGTATGACTTCTGCTGCTTGCTGCTGCTCCCGCTGCCGCTGCCGTTTCCACTGCTGCTGCTGCTGCTGCTACCGTCGCCGCCGCCGCCGCCGCTGCTGCTGCGTTCCACAATGATGACACATGATCGATGATTGCTATCCTGCCAGACCTCCCGAGAGGGAAACCCTCTGGCCCAGCAAGCGCAACCGTGGGAAGCAGGACCGCCTCATCGCGAGAGCAATCGCGGAAAGCACGTTCCCCGGCCAGGCCGAGCTCAAAACCAAGACCGCCGAGGTACCCGCAGGTAGACAGACAGACAGACATACATACAGACAGACAGAGAGACAATCTTGATTGACGACCACCGACCATGCATGTACCCCCCCCCCCCTCCCCCCGCCCCCCCCCTTGCAGTTGTACGAAGAGGAGAGGGAAGTGTACATGATTGAGCTGGGAAAAATACAAGGGACGTACAGGGAGATGTTTGAGGCATGGAAAAGAGGGGATAGGACGGTAGCTGTACTGGGGAGTAGGAAGTGGTTTGAAAAGGCGGGAAGGGATATCATTAGGATAGATAGACTAGGGAAGTCATTTTTGAGCCACCTTGGGCAAAGTAGGAAGGAACGATTGGCCATCGGTGATCGGTCCTGTGGGAACAATGCTCCGTCCTCTCGAGGACGCGTGGTCAATGGTCTAACCGGTAAGGCATGCAAAACATAAGAGTACGCCCCCCGTCCCGCCCTTGTCGAGTACCACATGCGAGGGATGGTCTCCAAACTAATCACTACAGGCGCGGAAGCAAGTAGGCCAACCGGTCATCTCGTGCATCTTACTTCTGTGCGTTCTTCGTTCAGTCCCAATGGTTCGAGAGCACAATTTACAAAAAAACAGCAGTGTTTTTCCGATATCCCCCAAAAGAGAACCCCCGTAAAAAAAAAGAGCCAGAAAGACGAAACACGCCTCTTTATCTTTTGCCGCCCGTCACCTGTGCGTTCTCGATGGTATCAAGGAGGTTCTCCACGTCCTCCCCGGTGTACCCCCCGCCCCACCCCAGCACGCGGGCGAGGTCGTTCCCTGTCCCCAGCGGAAGAATGGCCAGCGGAGGCCGCTTCACCTTCCAGGTGATAGCGTCCACCGACTGGGAAGCAGGTAAGGAGGAGATAAGTTCGACGAAAGAGTGGCATTAAGGAGGAAGCGGTGGGGGGGGGGGGGGGGGTAGAGATCGAG